TTTTTTTAGTTTAAAACGTTCGCATCTGTAGCCTTCCGCCCGAACAGGTGCGGAATAACATGCAACATGCATCTTGTTGATCCGTTGATAAATTACTTACTCGTGAATCTGCCTAACAAACCCCGATTTTCATTACGAATTGGGTCTCGCGCTAATTTGCATTTAACAACGATACAGTTAATGAGCAAGGGAATATCCGTTATCATGTCCAGCTGTCCCCTCAAATTGCTTTATTCAATAGAATTCTGTTGAATGCCCGCCACATCCGAGTGTGTGGTGTTGACGGCCTAGTTGTTCTTTACTTCAGGCTACTTACGCCTCATTCTAGTGTCTGCCGCGGATTACTCTATCAGATCTGCCTAATGACGGCCGCGCTGTTTGGCCTAGCTCCAACTAACAAACCAAACAGAAGTGTGCGTTCCGTTTAGAGCGCACTGTACTCCAAAGGTATAGATAACATCCGTGTGAGAAGTCTATTGAATGAATATCCTCGCATGGCTACAGAGCGCACTATACACCCACACATAAAACCTTGGGCTAGCTCACACCAACGCTCCGTCACCGGCCAGCTACAGTGCACTCACCCTGAATATCACTATTCTAGTTCGTTTTTCCCGCTGGCAGACAACATTTCATTTGCCTCTGTGACCTGCCTTTCCCAGCTGTTGATTTTCTGTTACTGAGCTCTTTTACAGGCCTGGCCCTCCCCAACCTGGAGAAATGTCTGGTGGCTGAAGTGCTCTAATAATCCCCAAGCCGCATCTTTGTATATTGGTAGCAGGCCACCCTTGAAGTCTGGTAGAATACATGAGAAAGAAAAACCTCATCAGATGGTAGGGTACGCCCCACAAGGAGAGTCGCTTCATGGCGTTCCACTAGGGTTCGTTCGTATGTCCGCCACCCTCCCATTAGCACGGGTGCACCGCACTTCCTCGTAGGTTTGGATCCTGGTCTTTAATTCAGGAAATTCATAAAAGAGCACTGTTGGCGTCTGTGTGTATCTGCTGGTCCGAACTTTTCACGGATGTGTCACCCATCTGGCAATGCTTTACACTACAGATGATTAAAAACCGACCTTTGGTCTGTGAAAAACATACACGTATACAGAGGATACCCTGCTGAAAACCCGGGGTACATATGGCTTACACCTATGTGCAAAGCTGTGGACGCACTCATATTGGTTGAGCGCGCCGCATCAAATGCGGTTTCGTCGGCCAGATATAACCCACACGTTCCCCTCTACTGCTCTGGGGAAGGGTCGCGTACAATAAAGAAATACAAAAAACACAAAAGTACATAATCCTTTATTCTTGGCATCCAGGTTCAGCGCCCATGGGCCTTTTCCGCCATGCACCACTTGTTGGCTGAAGTTGATAGCAGTGTCCCGAAAAAT